CATTTGCTCACACAGTGGAAGAGGAAGAGCTTCAAGCGTTCCAACGGCTACGATGCAGCTGACTTGGAGCGAGCCGCTTCCTTTGACAGTTACGGCGAGGAAATCGAGCCCCTCGTCCAGGCCTCATCCATGTCCAACCCTCAGGAGGTCGGCAGCGATTACAGTGCGCGCCCCGACAGCACCCGAGGCCCCACCGCCACGTGCACCACCAGCGACCTTGTGATTGGTCAGCGGGAACAATTGAAACCCCAACCCTCTGACGACACGGACGTAGTAATCGAATGTCCGCCGGATGAGGTGGATGACATATGCGAGGCTGGCGGCAGCGGCGGCGGCGGCGACGGTGTTGGGGACACTGCTCACGAGGATGCGACCTCGGAAGCTCAGGCGGGAAGCGCAGACGCCGGTAGCCCTGGCTCACACAGGGTCATCAGGGTAGTCGCTGAGAGCGGCAGCAGGACTCCGTCCAGGACCAGCCATCCGCCCTCACGACAGGTTCTCAGTGAGCTTGCTGCCCTGGGATTTAATAATCGAAATGAGTACTGGGAACACTCAGCCTTTGGAAGGGCACGAATATGCGCCATCTGCCTGGCCGGTATTGCCTCACTCTGTCTACTGTACAGTTTCAGCTCATCCACCTGGGCCTACAGCGGACTGAGTAAGTGGAATCTGCACTCTCTAAACACTGGGTTTTTTTTCTTTTCAGAAGAGCCAGTGGCGAGCGAACGTTTCTTTCGGTAACTTCTCATCAGGCCAATACGTTAACATGGGACGGGGTACAACGAGTGAAAAAAAGTCGATAAAAGTTAGTTTTTAAATTCCAGGCTGGGCAAGAGCGGAAGGGCGCCGAAAGTTGTATGTGGTTAGTCAACCTTTGACCACGGTAAGCGCGGGGCCTGAACAAGGTTCTTTTGGGCGCATAGGGTCGGTTTTCGTAACCTGATGGCGGCCGCTTCTGCGTTGCTAACAGGCGCTGGCCCAGTAGCCTAGGATAGCTCGAGGGGACCATGTAAATCACACGAAATGCTTCAGCGGGGTCCATACGATGCCCTGAATCCATTGCATGAGCAAGGATGGCGCTGTCTATTCTCCTAGTTTCATCCTTTGCCAGCCAAGCGGGAAGGTGCTCTCGTATTCTTTTGGAAAGGCGCCGACTCGTACGACCAATATAACCTGCTCCACAGGAGCAAGTGAATGAGTAGATGTACATTGAGGCGGTCTGAGGTGGCAGCCTATCTTTGCCTTGTCCGCGTAAAATAGGGTTAGTAGAGAATGATATGCGAACCCTTGCTGCTGGGAAGGTTCCCGAGACAGCTTGGTCAAGGCGTCTTCTTAGGAGTTTATTTGCAGCGTCTTCTTGGAAGGGGACTTTGAGGAACAACGTTTTCTTTTCGACGGTCAGTGTGGTGGGTTTTCGGGTCGTTTGGCAAAGTTCTTCGCAATGTCGACTGTCTTCCTGTCCTACCTTCCTTCCGGAACATAACAAAGATGATATCATTTATAAAAGACGATTCCACCCAAGAACCCGTAAACATGGACTACGAACTCATTGACCTCGGACAGGAAGGAAATTATTTCCAGCAGTCCTTGCCAAAACCTTGAAAAAATAAACCAACATTTTTTTTCTTTTAACTAAAAGTAGCAGCATAAACTCGTGAAGCACTGATTGGCAATTCTGACCATACTCCCGAATAAAAAAAGCGCGCTTAAGCGAGCATGCAAAAGTTAGTGATCTGAACTATGGTCCTATGCCTATAAATGGTCAGTGGGATGTTGTCTTGTGACAGGGCAGTTGCACCCCAACGGATACTTAATTACTGTTTATTTATTGCATTCGATTTTCGGCGCTTCCATTAAGAAATTCTTGGCTATT